ACTCCCCAACTTCAGGGCTTTTTTTCAACTCACAGCTTTTGGGAAGCCTCAGCGTGGTTGCGCTAGCCGACCGCACCCCTGCAGCACTGCCTGGACCCTGGTGGCCGTGATGCATGGTGTCCCCTGAGCTCTGGTCCCTCCTCTGGAGGAGAGATAACCCCTCAAGGGAACCTGTCCCTCCCATGCTGTGCTGTGGGAGGCAGGGCCTGAAGCGACAGCCAGGCGTCTGGGGGCTGCCGCACGCGCCTCTCCGCGGCACGCCGCTGGCCATCCCTCTTCCCTGGCTGTGCCCGGCTCTCACCTGCGTATCTTAATTCTCATCTGTTTTCGCATAAGATACGTTTTAGCCCTGCAGCATTGTGCTGCTATGACAACAGGCTTGCACTTCTGCTGCTTTCACACCCTTGTTTTTCTTGTATTAGGACTCTTCCCCTCGTCTTACAGCCTTGCTCTGAAGACATGACTTCATCCTTTTTTTTTTTTTTTTTTTTTTTTTTTAGCAAAATGCACTATTTGTTTTGCTGACAATTTCTCTAGAAGCACTGTTAGTGCTGAAGCTATGCAGAGAAAGTGAAGACTACTACATACATTGCTAGATCCACAGCTGGCTGGCTGCCTTCAGGCCTTCTGAACTACCCGAAGTTTTAAAATGCATGGCTGGGTGCCTTACGCCAGTCAGAGCTGCACCAGCCCCAGCCTTCAGCTCTGCTACAGCCAGCACTGACTTCTACCAGCTTCGAAAACAATGGCTTCAGCGTGCCATGTTGCCACAGCAAAGCAATTAGAAAGACCACAAACACAGGAACATAAATATAGCTGGTTCCTCCACGAGTTTCCTCACACGTAGAAAATAAATGAGGAAATCTGGAAGGGCTGCGGACAGAGCATGCAGGCACACACATGGGCAGACATAGTAATTAGGGAGCAGAGAGAGGAAAAGAAACCCAAACAAGTATGAGGTCTGCAAAAATTTGAAGTTTGACCGTCTTGCTTTGCAATAATCAGAAGTTATGCACTGCTTAAATAAATGTGTATTTATACATGAATATTTTAGTATTTGCTTGCACGTGCAAATAGGCATTTAATCAGTGAACTAGATACATTGATGGCCAGTTCATAGGAGAGAGGCAATGTATAAGCACTGTCTGAAAACATGTAGTTAGGACAGTTTCTTTTAAAGAAATAAGCCTTCATCTACAGATTTTTGTCTAGGCAAACTGTGAATAAAACCCCTTTTAGTAAGGCATGTCACATTTCATTCCCTTTTCATCTCCGCATCATAAGTAGAGTTATTGCTAAAAAAAATATTAGCACTGTGTTAATGTTATAAACACAATAATATAAGAGAGTCTACCCTGCAAAAAAAAGAAAGCTTTCATTAAGAAAAAAAAAAAAGTCTATTGCAGTACAATGCAGTTAAATCGCTCTAATTACAGAGGAACTAAAAGGCTCAAAATGTATCAAATCCTGGCTAACTCAGGATATGTTTTCAGGGCTTCAAAACATCTGGCTAGGTCCATGTTTCCAGTGAGTCTGTGTGCCTTCAACCTCCCAAGTTTCTAGCTGCAAGTGGAAATATCGCAATGAACTGGCAGGGGGCTGCTCTTACGCTATTTTTAGGCTGGATTCGAGGCTTAGATGAGCTGTACAGAATTTACACTAGCATTTGAACTTTTGCGCAATGGTCCACACCAAATATCCAAAATTATTTTTGTTTCTCCAAGCACTTCTTGGAAATACAAGGGTAAGAGCACACTTTCTTCAGCTGAGTGTTCATACTTCCTCTCTCTCTTTCTCTTGGCAGAGTGAAATCTTGGGGAAGAAAGAGGTCCTGCACTTGGACAGCCCTGGACTCAGCTGTAGAGCAGGTGGAGCAGCAAGCATGAAGCCACCACTGCCCTCCAGCACATCCCAGCCCCAGGATGCATCTCCTCCATATCCGAGACTCTCTAGAGGCTTCTGTTGGACCATCCATTCCAGGTCATGTTTAGGTTTCTCCCCTTCCTCTCTTCTGCAGATGGCTAGGACAGTTGGAAACACAACGGATGGCAGGCACAGAAACACTATAAGCATAGTGTTTCTATGCTTATAGTTCCTATTTACAGGGAGTTATGAGAACTATGGATGGAGATTTACTTTTATACAAACAAAAACGGGTACGCAGCATTGCCTCCAAGCCAGAACTGTGCTAGCAGGCAGCCACATGCCTCCCTGCTAATTAGCAGGAGAGACCTTCCGTGGAGCAGCTTGTGTGTCCAGCAAGAAGCGCTGCTGCCATGTGGGCAGCCAACGCCATGCTGGCACAGGCATGCTGTGCCCCACGGCTGCTCTTACTTGGGGAGTCCTGCCCAGGATCTGGGCCCTTCCCTAAATCTCTACCTGGCCAGCCAGCAGGGTGCTGCACAGCTGTGGCAGCTGACAGCTTCTCAGGCTGACGGCCTGCCCATAAGGAACTGCACTGAGCCAACCAGAGTATTTTAGAGAAACCACCACAGAAGTTATTGTAATAACCAATTCGTTAATTAGGATACTAGAGCGATTAACTTCTGACAGTGCCACTAAGCTCCAACTGCTCAGACCCCAAAACTGCATAACCCTTTTCCAGGGGGACAATAATGGAAGCTCACTTCTTCCTCTGCCGTAGCCAGAGAAAATCTCCTTCTCTTTCCCTACCATGCGACCAGGGTAGCAGTAACAGTGAAGGCTCATTCCCCCCTCTCCGTGGCTGGTGATGTAGGATATGGCCAGCAAGGGAACCTAGAGAGGGTGCTGCAAGAGCAGCCAGTGCCTGCCTGGGGCTACCTTGGGTCTCCCATCCACCTGCGAGCGGGTGGAGATGCAGCAAGAGCCCTACGGGAGGAGCTGAGGCCTCTTCTACAGCAAAAACTCTTCCCTGGGGAGGTCATCCTTCCCCTGAAGGGGAAAGGTAGGTAAATGCTGCCAGGGGGGTTCTCTGCCCTGACTGCACCCCCACGGCAGCATTCAGAGGCGTGCAGGTGGGATTACCCCTGGTCCATCCGAGGAGCAGCACTGGCCGGCTTTGGGCTGGGGGTGGGGGGCACGCTGCAGATGCCTTCGCTCCTCTCTGCCCTCCGTGCAGCCGGATACGCATAGGAAAACCTTGATGGACACCTTTTCCCTTCCTCCTTCTCTCGGTGAGTCCTGCTGACACAGAATGATGTAGCCCTGCATCACCACCAGCATAACAATACTGGGAGCTGGGGGCTCTCCCTCCTGTTTCGCCGGGTTTCGACCCCACTGGGCCATCCACGAGGTTGGATGGGCAGCTGCCTCAGCCCGGCTCTGCCCGCACACAGAAAAACATTCAGGACAAAGGCCGTAATCTGTTCTGCACAAGGCAAGCTGGAATTAATTAGATAAGTAAAGAGTTGGAAATAATGCATCAAATACGCCTGACAATGTCAGATTAACAGTATGAGTAAACAGTCAAATGGCAATGCTGTTCATTATCTCACTAAATGAAAAATAATCATCTTGTTGGCAAATTCTGTCTGTTAAAAATGAAGCAGCGTTAAACACTGACAGAACTTTCTAAGTTATAGCTCTTCCGCCGATATGATAAATCTTATGCAGAAGTTTGCTCGTGGAGGGATTCAGGGCAACGTTTATTTGTGTGTGGCTGCGCTATTGATAAAACTACAGATCTCTGGAGAAAGCAGTACAGCGAAAAAAAATCCATTATCATTATTGTCCTGTGACTGAGTAAATGTGCATACACTGGATGTGAATGCAGTCCACGGTACAGGAAAATGAAGGAATGAAAACCGTCTGTCTCTGGAGTTTTCTCGTTCGCCGGTACCGTTTCTGTGCCTGTGCTCAGCCAGCCTGTGCTCGTTAGATCTGTCTGCTGATTACCGCTGGGTAACACGTTAACGGCAAGGAAAGAGAAGCGGAAAATAGCGAGTGGCTCTGTGCTACAGTCCTGCATGTGGCTACGGTGGAAATAGAAGAGAAATAAATCCACTCTAACAGTTATTTCCTTGTTTAGTAAAGAGTGACATCTCCCCAAAGTCTCTCACAACCGGTATATGCACCTTTTTTTTTTTTTTTTTTTTTTTTTTTTTGTCATTTGAGAGGAGACACTCCCTGCACTCCCTGAAGCTATTAAGAAGAATTAGCGTTGGCTTTTGCAGGGTCTGACAGCCTGACATTCAAGGAAAAAGGAGGGGGGGGGGGGGGAAAAGCCATGCCGAGCCTCTGGGGTTTCCGTAAAGCAACAGGGAAAACGTGCCGGGCTGAGCCAGCCACACCTCTGGCTCCCTGTGCGTGTTCGGTGCCCTTTCCCTCCGTGCACCCGACCCTCTTAACACCCGGTTTTAGCATCCGTCCTCCTCGCTTCTCCTTCCCAACCCTTCCCAAAACTACTCCGGCGCAAGCTGGCGTGCCAGCTCGGGCACACGCAGGTTGCCGACATGTTATGGCACACGGTGCGCAGAGCCGTCCTGCCAGGTACTCGCACGCCCGGAGCCCTCCAAGTGCCACGGGGGGACACTGCTGGGGGAACTGGGGGGGCTGCGGTGCTCCTCACCTCCCCGAGCCACCCGCAGCGCCACGGGGGGCCGGGAGCGAGGCAGTGGGGTGTCTGCTGTGGGCGCTTTGCTCAGGGGCACGCTGCGATGGGGAGGGATAGGAAGGGGATGAGGAGGGCTGGGAAGGGCTGGGAAGGGAACGGGGAGGGATAGGAAGGGAAGAGAAGGGAAGGGAAGGGAAAGGAAGGGAAGGGAAGGGAAGGGAAGGGAAGGGATGGGGCTGCCCGCATGCAGCACCCCCAGAGCATCCCCGGCGCCCAAGTGCTCGGCAAGTTGGAGCGGGGCAGCGGTGCTGGTGGGCAGCAGCAGCCGGGGCGAGGCGAGGAGAGGCAGGAGCAGGCAAGAGGCGGCGGCCCCCGCTCCGCCGGGCTGGGAGCCGGGCTGGGCGTCCCAACTGTTGCGGGGGGCGGCGGGGAGGTGCGGGCACGGCGGGGGCCGGGGCGCGGTTACCTTGAGGATGAGATCGGTGTGGTGCTGGTCCAGCATGTTGGCCTTGCGGAAGGAGGTGATGATCACCCTGCCGTACCTCCCCGGCGTCTGCAGGTCGGAGTAGAGCCGGTGCTTGGAGCGGTTCACCGGGAAGAGGCTGTCCACCAGGTTCCTCTCGATCTTGGCCAGGCTGTGCGTGGGGGCCAGGAGGTGCTCCACGCTCTCCTCCACCTGGTAGCGGCTGAAGCTGGCGCCCAGCAGGATGGAGATGAGCACGGGCGCCGAGGCGAAGAACACCGGGTGGCTGGCGACGAAGTGGCCGAGCCGGGAGAAGGACGTCCCCAGCCCCCTGTGCAAGACCTGCCGCAACATCCTAGTGCGGAGGGCGCGCAGGAGGGCGAGCGCCGCGCCGGGGCCCCCGCGGCTCCCCCACGGCCCCCGCAAGACCATGGGGCAGCCCCGCCGGGCGCCGCCTCCCCGCCGGCCGCGGCTGCGGGGGGCCGGGGGCCGCCGCCGCCGCCGCCGCGGGTGCGTGCGAGCGGGGCGCGGGGGCGTGCGCGGGGCGCGGGGGCGCGCCCGCCTGCCTCCTGCGCGCGCGCGCCCGCGGGCCCCCGCCCCGCCCCGCCCCGCCCTGCCCCGCCCCGCCGCCGCCGCCGCCCTCCGGGGGGAAGGCGACGGCGACGAAGGGGCCGGGGCCGGCGCCGCTCCGCCGCTCCGCCGCTCCCCGCCCCCGCCGCGGAGTTTGCGCGGGGCCGCCCGCAGACTGCTGACTAATCCCCCCGCCACCGCCAAAGCCGCCACCGCCGCTGCAGGCGGGCCGGGCACCCGCAGCCCTCCGCCGAGGGGCCGCGCTCCGGGGGCCCCGCCCCGCCCGCACCGGCACCGGCACCGGCACCGGCAGCGGCAGCGGCAGCGGCACCTCGCCCCGGGGGGGAACCGGGCTCGGGCTGTGCGGGAGGGCTCCGCGGGGGGCGCCGCACACGCCCGTGAGAGAGGCCGGGGGGCGTCGGGCAGGGCTGCTGCCGCCGGTCCCTGTGCTTGTGCGGAGCCCAGGCGGGGGTTTCACAAGCGCCGGGAAGTTTCTCAGCCCGGCAGCCCGTTCACCTGTTGCTGCCCGGAGCGGCGGCGGCTCCCCGCGTGGGCTGCACAGCCCCTTGCGGTTCGGGGGCGCCTGGCCCCAGCTGATGTTTGGGCACGGGCGCTGCTTCGCCTCCTTGACATCGTTCCCGGCTCCTCGCTCGCAGCTGGGTCACGCAGGCTGAGTGCTAAACTCTGCCCGTGTTTCACCGCGGATCGCTCGGTGGAGCAGTGCCGAGTTGTGGCCAGCCGTGTCCCCGCTTCCCCCGATGCTGCTGGCTCGCCGTGCCCAAGGCCAGCACGCAGTCGGGAGGCTGCCCGCAGTGCCAGCCTGGCTTCCTCTTCCCCGCCGAGCCCGGGGATGCAGGTGTTTGTCGTGCCCAGATCAACCTAAGGAACACATTTCGTATGAATAAAATCAGAAGGAAGCGTCAGAGATGGAAACGGCAGCCGAGACACTGACAGCGGAGACGATTTGTCTCAAGTCTCCGCAAAGTTCAGCAGCAGACCAGGACACGGAGCCCAGGTCTCTCGTCTCCCTGCAGAGCTGTAGGCAGATGGAGCAGAGGCTGGCTTGTGTTACTGTTAGGGTGAAGCATCGGGATGTGCCTGGTGCCTTTTGTCATCAGCAACGAGCAAAGAGCTTTTGTCATTGCTACTGGCAGTGTCATTTGTGCTGGTATTTTTTTTTTTCTTTCCATTAAGCGATTTTTATTTTATCATTATTAAAAATGAAGGGGGCTATTAATTATTTCAGCAACCAGCCAGTGGCTGATTCGCGAGCCTTGCAGAGTACCTCAGTGAAACGGGTCTGAGGACCTGACGTTAGGCCCAGTTCTCAGCACGTTATGGTGGGGGAGCTGCAAGGAGGGGAGCAGCGGGGCCTCAGGTGCTACTCCACGACGAGCAAAGGCCTGGCCGAGCAAAGTGCCACCCTCACTTGTAGGGGAAATGCCCAGCAACTGGAGCTCCTGGCAGCAGCCTGCAGGGCAGCAGCGTTCACCTGCTGGGTGACACCCAGCTCTGCGTGTCTCGTGGAGGAAATGGAGGGGAGGGCAGGATTTCTATCATGTTTGTGTGCTACTCCGCTACAGCCTTGAATGGCGCTTGGCAAAATAGATAATGATGTCTCATTGCTCCAGAGTGTTTCCAAAGTGAATTAAGGCGAGAATGATGGGGAGAGATGGCCTGTACGATGAGGTGCAGATACTGGGAAGAGGGATAATAAGGGGGAGGACAATATGATTATGTCTTTTCAAAGTGAACGCCTCAGGTCAGCTACTTTGGGGGACAGAGTGTAAAAGGGAGATGGGGAAGACATGACTCAGAGAGATGGCATCTGTGCAGGGTTCAAGTCTGCTCTCAAGAGCAGACCTGTCCCCTGTGAAGCCCTGTTATCGCTCAGACCTGTGCAGAGACAGCCTTGACCCATGCCTGGGAGCTGTCAGGAAAGGAGAAGGCCAGACAGGTCCCATTGGCTTAGCATGAGGCCAGGCTCTCACTGCTGGGGCTGAAAGGCTTGGGTAGGCTCCCCACAGCCTAGGCCACAGGGCTTTAGGTCTTTGCAAGCACCAGGAGGATGCTTTGAACAGCCAGGAACGAGCATCTGCTCCAATCTTGTCACAATAGCAAATTTTTAAAATGAACGCAAGAGGAAGAAGTTGGCAAGGCTTTCTTTAAAATAACCCCTTCCTCCTACCTCCCCAAAAGGGGTCCTGTAAAAGCAAAAGCTGAGAAGCGAGGGAGGGGGAGGGTTTCTGGTGAGTGACTTCAGACGAGTGAGGAGGGCCTAGGGGAAAGGAAAGGTGGCAGGAGCATCTGGGATGGCTGTGGGAGGTATGCAGAAAATCAGGATTTTGCGTTGTTTAGTTAGGCATGAGGAACCAGAGAAGATATTTTAGGAGCGTCTGCATGGGCTTTAGTGCTGTGAACGGGGAATGATTTTTGCAAGAGAGCACTGAGCAACTTGTGATGCAGGTTCCAGCTGGAGTTTGGAGAGAATGAGGTTACCCACAGTGAGGAGATGGGTAGCAAAGACTTTTTTTGTTTTTGGAAAGGAACTATAAAAAGACTTCCAAGGAGAGTTTAATAATTATGGCCAGATTCTTAAGGAATGAAAACATTTTTCACTGAAGTTCTTTGTGTTAAGTTCATTTGTACCTGCTGAAAGCCTGGCTGGTGATGTGCAAAGCCGGTCTGCTTTGTGCCGAGGGATCAAAGTAACATGTGGCTGGGGAAAGCAGTAGTTGTCATTGCATCACCCAACCGTGCTCGGCTCTGTATTGCTTGGCCTTAGGCCTGGGACCTGGGCCAATGCCAATTAAGTTGGTGAGGGCACAGACAAGGTTAATGATAAAGTTAATCTCCCAGTGCTGATTTGTGAGAGAACCTCAGAACTGGTAGCTTGAGTTTGCAGTGAACAGAAGAGCAGAGCAGAAGCTCTCCTCGTTTCCAAGCTGGGCCCCATTGCAATTAGGAGGATTATCCAAAAGAATCGATCTTTGCACTGATAAATGCACTTCTACCGCAAAGATAGTGATTTGCTTATACCAAACAGGGCATTACAGAAGCAGCCATGGGAAATCATAAATTGGTGTTAGTGCAATTAATAGTTTACATTTAATCACATCAACCTGTACCATGACTTGCCTACAGCTGGCAAGGAGGCAGCAAGGGAGAGCCCTGGACTGGGAGACAAGGTGATTTTTAAACCCTGCAACCAGAGAGAGACAAAATGATCACTATCAGAATTTTTGGCATGCGTGTTCCCCCTCAGAACAAGTTCGAGGGGGCCATCCAGACAATGGCTGCCTTGTTAACCCAACGTACAAACAACAAAACCAAGGGGTGGCCACGCATTTCGCCCCCTGCACCCACGGATTTCATTGCCAGGATTCAAGATGGCTGATCTCTTGCCTTCTGAAACAGGCTACTGCCAAAATTAGCCCTGCTGAAATTCTTCCTTTTGCGTTCGTGAGCCCCTAGTGTTCGCCAAACGGGAGGGAAAAAGGTGAAGATGAAGTACAGCTATGGCTGTACATGCCCTTTGCATTGCGCTCCCCAGTGCCCTGATGTTCTGCCACCCGTGACAGGGCGTACCTGTGCTAACTGGGCTTGCTAATGCAGATCCTGGGAGAGAAGTCACAGGAACTGGGAGATCTTTTTGCATCAGCTAAAAGGAAAGAGATCCACCCTCCTGGTGCTGCATGACAACATCTCCTTTTTGCAGCCTGTCCTGTAGAATGCAAATAGGTAAATGCTCTTTGCTGGCCTGTTCCTCCTACTAGACACGGAGACATATAAAAAGAATGTAAATCACCAAGAAATACTTTGACAGCTGGCACCTGATTCTTTCCCGAGTGCCCTGATGGTCACTCTTCGGCAGCTCTTTGCTGATTCATGAAGACTGCTAAGAGAAAGCGTGTGTGACTTATCTTTTATAGACAGCAATAAAAGAGGGAAGTGCCCTGTGTGGCTGGAACTGCAGTTCTGTGGTCTGTCTCTGAGATGCTCCATTAGCCTGCTGCTGGCAGTGATGACGCAAAAATTGGAGATTCCCGGTTGTACCATTAGCATGAACGGACTGAAAAGCACAAACGGGAATGTCACAGGGAGCCTGTGCTTTTTCTTTGCTTGTACAAAAACTCAGTAGAGGGGAAGGATGATTCTGTTCCCTCGCACGTTGGCGCAGGCTGCACAAAAACACAGCTCTGCTTTTGTTAGGATTCTCCCATATTCTGTTAGATCTAGACTCACTTCTTAAGCTGAAGCCTTTGGATTGTCATTCTCTGGCTATATTTTCGGCCAGGCTCTCTGATTTTTGTGAATGACCAGATTGTTAATCGTGGCCTCTCACCTGTTTATTTTAAAACAGTGACTGCTGACGCCTCTCTCAGCATTGCCTTTGGCCTTAAGGAACGGTCTTTGCTTCTCTGTAAACAATAATGGCCTGGAAAAAAAGTCCTTCATTGCAGTAAGGTGGATTAAGTTCTTATTTTCAAATGCAGTCTAAATGGTCCTGATGTACTGCAATGTAACAGCTAATATAAGCAGACGAGTCAATTTACAGCTTTCATACTACATTTTAAGAAACAAAAGAAGCAGACAAGACAGCACAATAAATCTGCCTAGTGTCCTAGCCTGGTTGATGTTAATTGAACGCAGTTGTATCAGATAACTGGATGACGCAGTTTCCTAAAAATAGGGAATGCACCTATTTTGTCAAGAGTATAAATTTGTCCAAGGAAGTACAGGACAGACTTAAACAAGATATTAGTTAGGATAAAAGTCTGTGAACCAATGAAAGAGCATAGATGTTTATGTACTATCCTGCATATGAAATACAAAGTTCATATTAGAATAACCCTGATGATACCAGAAAACCAATTATATTATGCCGGATTCAAGGGACTGACAAAAAAAAAAAAAAAGAAAAAAAGAAGAAGTATCATTTATGAATAAAATTTCCA